CCTCTCTCCCCTCTGGCATTTTCTTGTTTAGTTTTAGGTAAAATCATATATATATATAAGCTAGGACTAATGTATTAGGGATATTATTTTTATAAAATTGTAATACTTTTTCTTATTATTAGTAGACATTTTGGGAATATATAAAGGATTTAAATATTTTTGATTCTGGGCTGGTATTAACCTATTTTAGTTTTGCTACCAAATACAACAATAAACCATCGTGTTCAATATATTCTCTTAAATGAGTAATTATTGATATCTTTAATGAATGTTTTATAAGCTACGACTAATGTATAAGGGATATTTTTCTCTCTAAAATTGTAATACTTTTTCTTATTATTAGATTAATATGATTATCAGTAGATATTTTGAGAATATATAAATGATTTAAATATTTAAATATTTTTTTAAAGAAAATATTGAAACGATGAAATTAGTTGATTACTTTGAGAACGAACATTAGAATAATGTTTTGTAACCCAAAATCTTAGTTGTGACATGTTTTGATTCTGGGCCGGTATTAACCCATCTTAGTTTTGCTACCAAATACAACAATAGATCGTCATATTCAAACTGTCTGGTAGCTACATAGATCTTCTCCTATAAATGAGTTTTGTATAAGCAAGTTTAGACTAATGTCAAATATGAGATTAGAGAGACAGATTCATCAAGTTGGTGAGATGAGAGTAGATTATATTATCGGGTTAAGTAAGTCATGACAAATGATGTTAGAGAGGATGTAATGTGCTTAAAAGATTTTTTAGTAGGTTAATTGCATAGACATCAAACTCTATCAAAACCAACTTTGAAGTGCTGTTTGGTTCCTAAGTTGATGCCTTTGGTGCTTCTCCTTACTCTCCTGAATTTTGTGCAATCAAATTGAGGTTATTGTTAGAGGCTGTACACAAATATTCATAAAGGGAAAAGTGTAGGGGTATTTATTATCTGTGCAATCAAATCAAAATCTTGATCCAATTGGATGTCATGTTATTTATAAAATAAGATATTTGGATTGAATTAAAAGTTGAATTTAGTCAAATTAATATATTTTAAATTAAATTAGTTAAATTTGATTCAAACTGATTAATTGAATAAAAAAAATAATGTTCTTGAATCAGAATTATTTATCATTTTTAAAATTAAATTATTGACGTGAATAAGACGTCAGCCTAAGAACCTCTTTCCAGGCATGACGGCATTCTCCACATGCAAAGGAGTCGAAGCAGTGCCAAGTCACCCACCGACAACGACGTGTACTTGTATCCCACGTGCCAGCACGTGCTCGGAGACGTGACCGGCACTGCTCGTCGTGGTCGGAACAGTAAAAGGCAGTACCACGTTATTCCCGCAACGAATAATGGTGGACAGCCATGTGACCACTGTTACATATAGCCTTTCCCTCTGCCCCACCACGGATGGATTAATCCTCGTTGTCGATGTTCGACTTTATGCATCCAATGCACTCTTTAGGATCAGCGGCAGTGTCTGGGATCCCGAGAGGACGCTCCTACCAATGACTAACGTACCTTCTTCACCGATGCACGATCCCGAGGTGACCGCACCCCGTAGAGCTTTACTGCCATTCGAAAGAGATGACCCTTTGTTCTTAACGTTCACGTTCCGAAAGCTTTGCGGGAGCACATTCCCATATTATCTATAGAGAAGGCACTCCGCCATCACCATCTACTTGACCTGCATTTGGAAAGAAGAAGAAGAAGAAGAAGAAGTAGTGAAAGACTTGCAAGTTGTCTCATTTCTTGATTTCTTTTTGTGTGGAATGAAGAAATGTTCGAGCTACAACTCAATTTGTCCTAAGATTAATTTCTAGTAAAAGGAGCTGATTAGGAAAAAATGGAGGACATTGAAGAGATGCTAAAGAGGAAAAAGCATGAAAAAGAGCCTAAATCCTTCTAAATTAATTTCTACGAGAGCTGCGAGAGCTTTTTTTGTTGTTTGGCCCCTCGACGCGATCGGTCCCTCCTAAGATTACACCATTAGATGAGATGCCGGAAGTCGGGGCCGTGGATCAAGAAGTCGTCGTCGTCGTCGGCGGCGGCGGCCACCGGCATGGGTCCGTCGTAGAAGGAGGCGACGCCGCCGGCGTGGAAGAGTTGTTGCTGCTGGAGCTCTTTCTGGCGGCGGAGCTCGAGCACCTTCCGGTGGGAGTTGGAGTGTTTGGAGACCACGAAGGTGGGGCTGGCGGCCGGGCGGTACTCCGGTACGAGGCGGCCGGACTTATAGCGGACGCCGCAGGCGTTGCACAGCGTCTTGGGGCCCAATGGTCCCGTCCGCCACTGCGGCGTCTTGTCGGTCTGGCAGTGCAGGCACTTGCGCCCGTCCCCCGCCGCTACGGCGGTGCCCGCCGTCAGGTCCTTCTTCTTCGACGCCGGCTTCACCGCCTTCTTTCCTCCTCCGCCGCCAGCGGAGGCCGCGGCGGCGCTGGCGGGCACGATGAGCTCCGACTCCGGCGACGAGGCGGTCGCCAGGGATGGGGAGAGCACAAGCAGCCGGGAGGACCAGCTACAGGGTGCGGCGCGGGAGCGCTTGCTCCGCGCCTTGCCGGGGACGATCGCCTCGGGACGGAAGGGGGCCACGTGGTTGACGCGGCCACCGGCGGCGACCTGGGTGTGAGCGGAGACCTCAGCTCGGGTAGCTGCCGCGGCGGTGGTCGTAGAGGAGGAGCCGGTGGTGGTGGAACTAACGCCGGAGATGGGGTGAAGCTTGTGGAGGTCTTCGCTGGAGAAGGATTCCTCCACAAAATTAGAAAGCCATTCCAACTCCGCCAGCTCTTCGTACTGCTGCATCCAAAAATGCCCAACAAAAACATTAAAAATCGATTCTTTCGACAAGCCTCTGTCTCTTCCACACAATTTTCCATTTCCGGTACAGATTTGTGTTCTCGAGTGTAACTACTAATATACTGTGAGGACGTTTCATCTCGCTTTCTTCCTTCTTCCTGTCCCCAAAAAAGACGAACCAGTAGGAGACCAAACGCAACTCTAATTCGGAGAAAATGGTAATTATATTAGAAAATGCAGTTCATAAAATTATCCTCTTTTTTTGGGCCTGAAAAAAATTCGGGAGTAATTAACGGGGAATACAAATGACGGAACCCCGATGAATTTTACGGTAGTCTTCGTCGAGGGAAGGAGAGGTGGGATTACCGGCTCGCACAGGTCGCCGGAACGGCTGGCATCGGCGAGGCTCCGGCAGACGAGGTCGTTGGAGAAATGCGGCTCGAGGCCGGAGAAGGAGTTGCTGCAGCTATCCACGGCGGTCACGGTGGAGGAGTCGGTCGAGTTCCCGGCGGCGGCGAGCGTACCTCCCGTCTCGTCCTCCTCCTCGTTGGAGAAGTCGAGCAGGTCCTCCAGGGAGAACTGGTCCTCCCCACCTCCGCCACAGCCGCCGGCCTTTTTCTCCGGTCCGCACTGCGGGTTCCCGCCGCGGTAGAAGCCGCCGTGGAAGTACTCAGGTGTCTCCATCGCTCCAAATCAGGGTTTATGAGAGCGAGCGAGCGAGAGAGGGGATCAGAAACCAAAAGGGGAGACGAAGCCAGGGAGAAAAGGTGGAGCGGGGTACGGTTTATTTGAGGGTGACCGTCGGACTACTGAAACGGGCGTGAAAGAGAGAAGCACATCGTCGTATTTACCCGCCGGTTAGTCATACTTATTGACACCTATGCCCTCACTCGTCTTCTGACCACGAAGCTTCAGATTCTGTTTTAGTCCGTTAACTGACCGTTCTGTCCTCTCGTCTCCCACCAAATAACGGAAAACTAGCAATGCGCCGAGGGTAGTAATGAGATTTCAACAATTTTCTCAGGACAAAGTGGCTTAGACGTAATGATTAAAGGGCGGTTTCCGTTCCGTTCCGTTAATCCGTCCGATTAATGGCTGATTTAAGGGTAATGGTATAAGAATTAAGGAAAAGGGGTTATTAAGAGTTCAATTCAACCCTCCTAAGGAATCGATCCACGGTGTTCGTGGCTGCCACTCGTGCGGTGGCGTCCAAGTTTACAGCCGGATTCCTCTGCCCCCCCCTCCTTCTCCCCTCTTGTAATTTCCTTTTTCTCTAATTTCTTTTTTTTATTTCTCAGTAATTCCCAGTTTCATCTGCTCATCCCATAAGAATATCCACGTCATCCGCCTCGTTGGTAAAAAGGTTCGGGAGGAAGAGCGAGTCTACCGTTGGATTCCTTCTTCCGTAAACGTGGCACGTCGTGATGTCGTTGTCGTTGAAATGTTATCCCGCTTCGACAATCGTGCATTCGATCATTCCTGGAATTAACGATCCCGATGAGACTCGTTGTTATTACCACTGCAAAGCGAGAGCACCGAAGTCGTAGTAGCTTAAGTCCGACTAATACGTCGTATCGCTATTAATAATTGGACCACGTTAACCCAGTGCCGTTCTTTACGATGGGACCGGAGGGGGCACGTGATGAGGTGTCAGCGATCATGTGGGTCGCGCCTCGATTGGGTTCCTCCTGCGACGCATCGGAACTCGATGGCGTGGTTCCAACATCTGATGTCATGATGGAATCTAAGTTGTCTAAAAACCATATGCTGACGTATCAGACATAAAATTGTAATTTAAAGTCGATTCAAAGTTGCTTTAGATGTTTGGTATTGCTAGGCATATTTTGACATCGCTCACGTGGACCCAAACATAGAACCTAAAGTACGATGTGACATGCAATACACAAGTGGCATGCGGTCGCTTGTCGTCCCTCCGTACGAACGACATCATCATGATTCAATCGTCCTGGAAAGCTCGGAACGATGGCGCGCTGTCACGGACAAAGTTCTAAACATGATGTTTAATGTAATACTTATATATGTTCGTGTCTTTTGGTTTGTTCATACTTTGCACAGCATGTAGAGGGACGGTGGAAGGCTTAACAGCCCCATTTTAGCTGGGTTTAATGGCCTTCTTAGGCTTGTAAATAAAGGTTGTATCATGTGGACACTTATGAGAGATATTCGATCTGTAGTGGACCATTTTGACTCTTTGTTGTGCAATCGTTCAGAACTTGTAAAGACTGTTTGTAATTTGCATTGTCTATGAAGTATTTTCGGAAATGTTTGCTTGTAGATCCTGAATGAGACACTTTCTCTAACTCATTTTCTTTTTTTAAGACCTAAGGGACCATGGGAGGATTCGGGGAGATCGACCTTTACAGACGGACGCACAAGGGTGCCGCATGACTTAGGAAAAATAACTTAGGCAAAACCAGCTAAGTCCATGACAAATGGTATCAGAGCGGGATAAGCACTCATAGAAACACTTGGTAAGCAAATGTGGGGGACCTAGCGGGACTGCGTTGAGGGCAGTCAGCACGTGCGACTAATAATTAGAAAACGAGCATGAAGATATAGGAAAAAGGAGTCGCTCGGAGGAGCGGACATCTGATATTGGCATTTAGAGGAATGGTCAACCCTTTGCATAAGAGGCACCACAAGAACAAGCAAGTTTGGAAGAATACGTAGCGCAGAAAGGTTGGGATGGCTGAGTTCAAGCTATGGCTCGACGTTGACAACAACACTTGATGGTGCTCAAGGCAAGCGAGGCACTTGGTAAAGGATAAGACCATGCAAGGTGGAATGAGTTGCTCAACGACCAAAAGAGTTGTGCAAAGCTCACAGAGGTGAGGGGAATTGCTAACTCGAAGAATTTGGTACTCATGTAAGGGCTTGAATGCGGACGATGGAATGTTCACGGCCATCCTAAAGCGACCGAAACTCGGCGCCATGGAGCATTGGAACTTTCTCTTCGGCATGAGAAAGATACGTCTGTAGGATGCTGAAATGTGTAGTGAGTTCAGCATGTTGTTAAGCCTTGATTAGTGTAGCAGGGTCTGTATTTATGTTGAGTCGCAATCTAGCAAGTGCGTTTGCATGAGGCAAAACAATGCATAATTTGTTCAGCAAATCAGAGTAGTCCAAAAGGATGGTGGTCTCCGAAATGAAGAGAGATGTTACTCCAACGGGATAGATATCTACGAGGGATAAGTCTCAGCTTTCTAGAAGGATAATCATATGTAGCAGATCGCACATGTTGATGAGGAGTACCTCGAAAACAACTCCACGAAGCTCAATGGACCAAGTGAGTAGCGGGGAGTCGTCGCATGATCTTGCTTGAAAGAATGCATTGGTGGATGCATTGCGAGATCAAGTGGGGGAGCGACCCAAAGCAATACAAATGAAGGCATACTTGGAGTCGATATAGAGATCAGACTCCATGGAGGGCAGACCCGTGGAATGGTAGGCGCGAGGGCCACCATCAACTCAATGCAAAATGAGGAGCAGAGCAACTTGGGTGTAACTTGGCGAAGTACCCAAGCCGCATGAAGGGAGCCGACATAGAAGATGGGACATGGAGCGGAGGCACATAGCTTTTCTTGGACAAATGTCAAGGATATGAACTCTTGTAGAGGCAAGAGCAGGATCATGTTGTTCCATGGGTCCTTCATTATGATAGAGCAAACTCATCTTACATGGTGCCAAAGACGAAGGGAGCTTCTAAGCACATGCACCTTATCTCGGAGAAGCATTTGATGGAGGAACTAATGCGACTCAACTTGCGGAGGCGAAGTTGGGTTCAGAAGGCCTTGGCATGGAGTAAGAGAATGCAAAGACAGATACTCTTGAAGAATATGTCACAGTGTTGTCATTCAAGTTGCCATGAAGGAAGAGTTGCACAGCGAAGATTGTGCTGGTAGGGGCAGAGGCAATGCAATACACACGACATAGTCCCGTGAGGGACTATATCATACGGAGGTATGATTAGAAGCTATTGGAAGCTCAACTTCAATGAACAATACAATGTCAAGAAAGGCTATAGATTCAATGAGTGAAGGTCATGGTACTGTAGAGGGGGGTCTTCCGTGTGTGCGTTGAGTTTTGCATCGGATGAAAACATTAGTTATTAGCATATGAGGGTTGTGTTCCACCAAGGGAAAAGTTCGAATGCAAGTACCAGTGAGTCCCATGGGAGGGACTTGATCATGTAGAGGTATGACCGAAGCTGCTGGAGAGTTAGACTGCTCCAAAGCCCATATTCGTTTAAGGGAGCCTAATAAGTCAGAAGACAAGGTCGAGTAAGCAAACGTTATTACCAAGGAAATTAAGGAGAACAAAATCGGTACAAACCCTATAAAGTGATGGCAGAGGCCATGCATGGGAGTTGCAGTTTGTCTTTCCATCAACCAAAGGGAGCTGCTTGAAGAACACAGAGGTGTTGAAGCAAGGGGTCAAAAAGGGCGATGAAGCGATGACGAGTCCAGAGGGATTTAGCTACCCAAAATCAAGCATAAATTATATTGGAGGTGGACTCGGAGGAGTGCCACAGAGACATATCTACTAATCGTGAAGAAAAAGGATATAGATGCGAGGGACAAAGTTATCTCAATCGTCGCAACGGGATCTATCGGCTCCTGTCCCCATGCCACCGTCGGTCGCTCAACATCCCATCGCAACGGACATTACCCCTAATGGCCTGAAGAGCTATCGGTGAATCCAAGACCGACATCCGAGCATCAGCGTGGGTGACCTTATGCATCCGGGATCGGACCGAGCCGTGCTGACACCTCGATCACGGCGTAAAGGTTCACCAACATGTATGAGTTGGCCCATCCATTAGCTAATCGATTCAATTGCCAACACTGCCAACATCCACAATGAACGCTCACCCCCCAAATTGTACGAATAGTACCATAATTGAGGGACCATGTGGGCCATGATTCCAATAATTATTATGCTGACAAATGTAACTACCGGCCAGTAAATTATCACATATTATCGTAAACTATAAATAACACGAGTATTTGTTATCTACAAATGTCATCCTTTCAAAATTAACGAATATCAAATATGATTTTACTGCGTGTGGACAATGAGGACATAAAACAGGATTCAAATCCCCTCACACTTATGTGTATACCACTACAATAATCTTGCTTTATCTTTGGTATTATGTTTTTAATACCACTACATTAATCGAGCTTAGATGGTGTCACTTAAGCATTAACTACTTAGGCTATCTTTATCCATTGAATTATGCTTGTGAGATCTCAATTGGTAACTCATAACTTAAAATTTGTTTTTTATGTCTTATTGATTGATAATCTATTTTTCAGAGTCTCGGTATAAACTAATGGTTTATAGACATGAAGTTAAGCTTTGGATGATTAAAAGTTAATTATTTATAATTATATATAAAAGTACATAATTAAACATAATATCCTTTCATAGAGTATGTCTCGTTCTTATTATTTTATATCCTTCCTTCTTAGATGAAACTCGGAGAACTCACGCTCTGAATTCGCGTAAATAAGATTGATGAAGGCGATGCTGCACGAATCTTGATTGCTGCAATCAACCATCGATCTAGAAAATGGACGGTAGGGATCATCCCAACTAGTCAAAGAACTTCAACGGAGGACCACGAATGAAAACTCTGCAATCTTCACCGTCCGTTCACATCCTGGCGACCTGATCGAAAGTTGATCGACGGACGAGATTATTACATGCCTATGTGGCAACCATCCAGACCTTCTGAGTGAGACTTTTACACAAAGACCCCGCACGAAGGCATAAATGATCGAGGACCATTTGGTAATTTTAATGGATATATAGAGGCCGG